GTTGAAGCCCCAAAAAGATCAGATTCATCGTCTGTTGTAGGCTTGAAATCTTACTGGACAAGCCTAGAATCCCCCCCGGGGGGGCAGACGGGGCGGGGGGATCTTGCGGGAAATTTCTTTTGCTTTACAGGCTTCTTAAACTGTGATTTTCAGATGTATTAATATATTTCAATTCATTGTTAGATACTTTGTGGATTAGGGTGAAGGGTCCACAAGTCTTATTCGCCTCTAAGATTCATCAACTTTTACGTGGGCATGTCTATACATGCTTACACAACTGGGCACGTTTGTATACAGCTTTACATTCTGTTGCTCGTGTCTAGGATCATGGTCCTGCAACTCAAGAATCTAGCATTACAGAATTTTTTCTGGTTTTGTATTTTCTATTTGAGGGTGACTATGATATCAAAACAAGGCTTGGCAGATAGAAAAACAACCTTGTTTGTACAAGAATCTCATTAATAGACTGCTTTTATGAAAGAGAAAACTAAAATTACAACCAACCAGAACTTAGGTTTCTGTTCTTATACGAAATCGATACATCCCACTGCATCTTTCAGTTTGATGTCACTTTGACCCTAGTGATTAAATGTGCAAATGCTTTCAAGTGATGTGCAGACTTTAGCTTTAATTTTTCTATATGGAATCAACACGTCCCACCACATCATGCAGGTTGATGTCATTTGGTATTGGTAATTAAATGTACAAATGGTCTCAACTGATGTCTAGTCTCATGTTGAATATTGACTTCACTTGGATTTATGATATGGTCCTTGAGCCTCTCCCCGTGCATGAGGTAAGGATGTATTGTAGTGGGAGCCTAGTATACATGGTGCCCTTGAGCCTGATGCTGTAAGTTGGCTTGTATAAGTTATAGTTAGATCAACTCATATGTATATCTTCTTTATTTGTTTGGCAATCTTGTCTCTATGCAGGATTGATACTTTGCAAGAAGTGCGGAGGCTCTGGCTATTCCAGACGCCTATGAACTAATGTTGAAGTTCGTCATTTGCTCTATGTTGATCCATTGTATTTCTCAATCTGTAAGATGATTTCACTGCAGCTGATGCTTTCATCTGAGTAGTTTTTTCAAAAACTTCTTTGATTGATCCATTTTCCACCTTAGTTTCTGATGATGGTTGATGGAAGAGAATATAAAATTGATCTAATCACATCTTTGCTTTTGGGATGATTCCAGTTCTTTAGTTCATCCCAGACTGACTCGATAGGATCCTGTATTGAAAGAAGTTTTTCAATCTGTTTTTTCCTTAACCGAGTTGAAAGGATATGCTAATAGGTTTATATCGTGAAAAAAGAACCGCAAGTATATAATTGAGTTTGAAGAACTGGACAGGCATTTGGACTTGGAACTTAACTAGTTTAACGGTCATTTTTTCCCTGAAGAATCCCATAGAGATTTTCAAGATGTATTGACTTTGTAACTGGCATCTAATCTGTCAAGCATGTTTTGTAGCCTTTAATAAATTTTTTTTACTTTTGAATGATCTGTTCAGATTATTGTCCTCTTCTACAATTTCTTCTCATCAGCTTCTGTCCGATTCCTGCAGTTCTAATTTTGAAATGGGTTGCAGTTGCACATTCTATGCCCGTTTTCTTAAAATTTAAAGAAGTTACCCAATAAAAACTGACTAAGAACAAAGTTTACGGAAGTTCTGAACCTTACAAAAGGAGAAATACATTGGTGATCCGTGAAGTATGTGCACAGTTTTACTTTGATCTTGCAACTTTTGATTTCAATACTAGTCCCTAAGTTTTCAGTTATTCAATAGATTTGCTATGTTATATGAGATTTAGAGAATGCAAGTCTCTCTTGGTCAGGAATTACATGTGATGGTAAGAACAACCAGCACCATGGCGGGTTTTGGACCTGGCAGAAATTACTCAGCTCATTCCAAACCAGTCAGGTTTCCATTTGCAATGCCATATGTCAAGGTGGCCAGATTTCAACAGCTTCCATGAGCACTATTTTTTTCTGTGAGAGCAGAGTTTATTTTATTTAATTTTTTTAAAAAAAAGTTTACTATATTTAATGATTATGCTATCTGAGGTTGTTTTGGCCTTAATTTTCGCAACATATTGATTTAGGTTGGTTTGAAAGGAATGTCAATGCAGAATCCTTTTCAGGACAGTTATGATAAATTTTCATGCATGACCTTGCTAAGTTATTTTTTACTTGATAGTTTTTAGTCATTTTCATTGAACTGATTAGGAGAGGCATTTGTGGATGTCCCTTGAGAATTGAAAGGCTCTGTTGTGGGTTATGTAGAACTTGAGTTTTTTAGTGGGGATACAATTGCATTCTTTCAGTTGATCATCATGAAAAATGGCAGGAACTATAATTAAAATAAGTAAATTGACAGTGATGTCCTAAAGAAGCAAAAGTCATTAGCTATTAAGGGGCAAAGTAAAACTCTTGACTGTTTATGCTGATTCCCGGCGGTAGAATTTGTTATGTACCATAGTTGATTGCTATTAAATTGGGCACAGCCTGCTGAATAGATGAATTTGCTTTTGCTTGCACAACGGATATGTCTCTTCTACACGTAGGAGCCTCGTGCAATGGGTATGACCTTTTCACGATGAATCTGTATATTCATGTTCGATCCATTAAGTTGATTGAGTCATTCCTCATCGAGTTGGGCGTACCCACATTGATGATTCTAATGCCTTTTCCTGAAGGACATCGATCTTCCTAGTTTCTTTTCTGGGGTTGAGGTGCCCTTTCTGAAAAAAATGACTTACCTTTCATCTGTGTTTTGTGTGAAAGATGCACTACCCAAAAGTTTTCTTTTTACAAATTTTGTCCTGGGTCCTGGCCTCCTTATCTAATTTCCCAACACCTTAACAGAAAAAAAAAAAAAAAAAAAAAAAAGAAGAAAAAGGGAAGAAAATGAACTTTTGAAATGCACCCAGTCACAATTCTTATCAACCTTTCTTAGTGTGATCTAATCCTTACACTGAAACAATTTCTCAAAAACTAAACTGTAAATATATATCTTCTAAAGTTGGATCTCATATTTTTCACTTGTAATAAATAATTCTTCATTTTTTTTTAAAAAAAATAATAGGTTAAAATTAAATTCAAATTTAGTAATAAAAAAAGAGGGAAAAATTATTATTTAATATAGTAATATTAATTGTTTGGACATTTGAATTTTATGTTATATCATGCTTTTATTCACAAAATATTTTTTTCAAAACGATCTTATCGTCCATATTACACTTTTTTTGGTTATAAGATGTTTGGATTTGTGTCGATTATTCTCTTGAGTTCAATGGGTGGCAGCTGTAATTTGAGTTGATTTAGAATATGTCCTTGAAGAGGTAAAAATGACTTGGCAGCTGTGATTTGAGTAAATTTAGAGTATATCCTTGAAGAGGTAAAAATAACTTGCCGGAGTGTGAAAAAGTATTGAATTTGAAACTTAGGCACACCTACATAATCGACTAGTGTGAATGTGTGTCATGACTATGTGACAAACAGACCTCGCCACTTAAGCAAAGCAGCTGAAACACATCATCCTATCAACCATCTTTAAATACAAAACAAAACACAACCCGCCGTATCATTAACATAGACACTACAACTACCCCCACTAGCCACCTCTCTTTAACTCTTTCCATGTTTTTAGCTCTGTTTTCTCTTTCATTCTTCCTTTAATCTCCATTAACACACACGCGCGCGCGCACACAGAGATGTCTAATACAACTGCTTCAATCACCCCTCCACATGAGGTAGATGAATGCAGAGGAGTCCTCAGAGTTTACAGCGATGGCTCCATCGTCCGGTCCAACAAACCAAGCTTTGATGCCCCGGTCCATGACGACGGCTCTGTGCTTTGGAAAGATGCCCTCTTCGACGCCGCACATAACCTTCAGCTCCGGCTGTACAAGCCAGCTTCATCCACTCCCTCCAAGCTACCAATCTTCTACTACATCCACGGGGGTGGCTTTTGCATTGGATCACGTGCATGGCCCAACTGCCAAAACTACTGTTTCAAGCTCGCTGCCGAGCTTCAAGCTGTGGTCGTCTCACCCGACTACCAGCTGGCTCCGGAGAACAGGCTCCCGGCAGCCATTGAGGATGGTTTCATGGCTGTCAAGTGGATACAAGCTCAAGCTGTGTCGGATGAGCCAGATGCTTGGCTTACTGACGACGCTGATTTTGATCAAGTGTTCATATCAGGTGACTCGGCTGGTGGCAACATTGCTCATAACCTAGCGGTTCGGCTGGGAGCCGGGTCAACTGAGTTGGCTCCGATTCGGGTTAGGGGTTATGTCCTCTTGGCACCCTTTTTTGGTGGGACTGTTCTGACTAGGTCTGAGGCTGAGGGACCAAAAGAAGCATTCTTAAATTGGGAGCTTATTGACAGGTTTGTGCTTAAATCCTACAGCTCTGTGTGTGATACCTTGTTATGAGATAGTTCAAGTGATAATAGAAACGAGTTGTAAATTCAAACGTCTTGACTTTAAATCTTGACAACCCTTTAGGGTCAGACTATAAAAGATTTATTTTTCATGAATACCTTATTTCCGGCGTGAATGAACAGTCTTTAATCAGACTGGAGAGGGAATTAATCGAAGTGTGCGTAAATTGATCCGGACACCCTTTACCGCAGAAAATCGAATTCATCAAGGGTGTCCGGGCGTGAAGTGTCAATAGATGTGCATCCACGCCATTCATATCACCTGATGGAGCCACAAGTTTTATATATTTGATGAAACAACGTTATATTGACCCACTAGGTCCCACTACACATCCACTGGTTATGGTTGCACCTCATCATTTGATAATAAAACTGGATTATTACAGTTGTATTAAGTTTTCTAAAGGGCTCTGGTGCCATGATTGATATAACTGGTTAGGTTTTGGAGGCTATCATTACCTGTTGGAGAAACTACTGACCACCCACTGATCAACCCATTTGGACCAGTTAGCCAAAGCCTTGAAGCAGTTGATCTTGATCCAATCCTAGTGGTAGTTGGGGGAAGTGACCTGCTGAAAGATCGAGCTGAGGATTATGCAAAGAGATTAAAAAACTGGGGAAAGAAAGTGGAGTATGTGGAGTTTGAAGGACAGCAACATGGCTTCTTCACCATCAATCCAAATGCACAGCCTGCAAAAGAGTTGATGCTCATCATTAAACGATTCTTGACTGAGAATGCTGGCAGTGGTTCCTAATTAGATAAGCATTTTCTAAGACATCTTTGGTGAATGTGTGTGTTGCCAGTCAGATTTGATTTCGAATAATGTCATGTTTATCAAGTTTCTTACCAAGTTTTTTATTTCAAGTGATGTGGTTTCGAATAATGTTATGTTTATCAAGTTTCTTACCAAGTTTTTTATTTTAAGTGATTTGATTTTGAATAATCTCTATCATTGATTATTAATGGGATCTACATATTTAATGGTAAAAACTGAATCATATCACATAAGATGAAAAATTTGATAAAAAATCTTGATCAACGTGACAATGTTGTTTCGTTTCTCTGTAATTCTTTCAAAATATAAGTTTATCTAACTCACGTCGAAAGTTTCTCAAAATAAAGTGAGTGGAGAGAATTCCAAAGTCTTGGTGTGGCCATGAAAATGTTTATCCATTGCACACCGTGTAGTTAAGTTTGTCAAAATATAACACGATTCGTTAATACGATACGAACACGATACAAAAATTAGAGGATTTGAGTCTTCTTTAAACCATTCGTTTTGTGAAAAAGTAGACCTAATACGACACGATTAATAAACGAATCGAATATTAGAAAAATCAATCAAAAGAAATATACGACATGACTCGTCTATATAACAGTTAGAATAATGTTATATATACAGACTTCAGAAACTGATTTGATGATGTAACTATTATATTCGTTATTAATTTAACTATAAGTATCAGTATTGCTTGAGACTTACTATCTATTCAATGGTAATGATTCTTCAATTCAAGTTTTTAAGTTTATTTAGTATTTTCCTAACGAAAATGATGTTTGTTTACAATTTAGTGATCTTATTTGTTGACATGATGAATCATAGACATTGAATTGACAATAAATCCCCACTAATAGTGAGGTTCACTGTCAATTTAATGACAGAGAATGATAATGTCACCAAAAAAGGCACTAAATTAAGTAAAAATAGCATTACTTTTTTCCTAATGGTTATATACGATTGATATACGACACGAACTCTATATAACATGAATTAATAAACACGTAAAATATTTTTTAACACGAATCGATTAAGACCCAATAGGAACCCATTTCTTGCAATTCGACCAACAGGCCCACGTGTAACTAAGTTTGTCATTAAAAATGGGACAAGTGGACAAGTTATCTCTTTCAACCCTACAACAGATCAAACAGGAATGGAACGCAAGACAACATGTTCAAATACAATCTTTCATAAGCCAAGAACAGTGAATATATGCAAATTTCCTAAAGACAGGAAGAGAGTTATTTATACTTAGCCCCTAAACAATGACTGATTTTTGCTTTTATCTCATCAACTATTGATGTGAGCACAAATAGGGAAACTTGAACAACAGTTTAAGAGGATAACTCTAACTAAAACCTGTCACATATACTATAGTAATGTAGGAGCCATGACAAGTCTCCAGTTCCCCATTCCAAATTTCTTATGTTTTTGAATTTTTACATTTTCTTTGCAATTACATTTTTTGTTAACAATATTTTACTCCCCAAGAACTTTACGTTTTTACCCTTCGATGCCAGTAAGATTATCGGTTTCCTTTTTCTGTATCTCTCCTGGGCATCCCATAGGATACCACTGGGGTTGTCAATGAACCTCGTGTTTTAAAATTATGTTAACGTTTACTTAACTCATATTCGACGCATTTATAATCATGTATAGCAGGATCCTTTTCATGTACAAATCAAGTTTAGACAATTTGTGTTGACCATTTACTCGAAGGGCCAAGTGAATATATTCATTTATCATCCCAACTATTAAGACTAATTAAAATCCAAATCCGTTGACTTTGTGTCCTCCTCTCGTGAGCATAATTGCTAGAGCTAGATACCACCAATAAATATACAAAAATGAGAAAAGTCCTCATCACTCTTTTACCAAGCATGGGTGTCTGTATAATCTTTTTAAAACCCTCCGATGGCAAGTAATCACTGCTTTTTTCTCTCCTAAAGTCAGCTTTTTCTCCTAATATTTTGCAAAATATTCAATTCTCTCCATACTTCTTTCTTTATTCCTATTTACACCTAAATATTAAAAAATTAGAAAATGAGACAGTGACAAAATCCAACGACAATGAAGAAGTCAAAAGAGTGCGAGTAAGATTAGACACTTAAGAAGAAAGGATTTCATGTATCTCGAAAAATAATGAGACATGACATTAAGAGAGCTATTATTTTTAAATGGTTTGTTGCACGTTTAAGAACGTTGGGAAAAGAAGTTATGACTGAAAAAAATGACTTTAAAGGTCATCTTTTATAAATACAAAAAAGAAAGGCTACAAAAAAAGTATTCTCGATCAACATACAACACTACACTGAGCCAACCTTTTCCTTAATTTATTTCTTGTAGTTTTAATCACTCTATTCCATCTGGCTGTCCATCAAAACATATCCATGTTTTTCATTTTGTTTGGATGCAAAATTAGAAAGAATGGATTGAGAACTATATTTCACCTCTAGTGTAAAAACAAAATTGAGATAATTAGAATTTGGCAGAGAAAATTAAGGTCATGTTTGGTTAGCTTTCCGGAAACTGTTTTTTGTTTTCAAAATTTCAAAAATACCCAAAATCTGTTTGTTTAGTATTTTTGTTCTCAAAATTTTGAAAAAAAAAATGAGATTTGAGTCAAAGAAACAGAAAATAAGTTTAACTTGTTTTCAGAGTATTCTTTGAAAATTTTGAAAATAAGGAGAACAATTTTAGACTTTAATAAGGTCTGTTCTTCGAATCTCCTTAGCAGCAAATTTCTTCATTCTTTTTTTTTACTTCTTTCTCTCTCTCATATAATATATATTATAATATAATATATTCTATTATAATCTAGTATATTATATAAAAATAAAATTTTTATATTTTTTTATTAATGTTTGAATTACAGTTCAAATATATATTTAAGTTGTCCAAACAGATTTTACTATTTTATGTATTGTAAAATTGTTTTTGAAATCATCTAACCAAACAAGTTTTTTATCTCAAAAAATATCAAAATCATTTTCTTAAAACTTTTATCAAAAATTGTTTTTAGATACTAATTTTTAAAATACAAATCAAACAGGCCCTAAAATTTTGTCAATATTCATAGGCATCTATTATAACCTATTTTTTCCCTCTCCCCCTCACTTCTGATTACGGTACAAAAAAAATAAACTTTTAGTATCATATCTTAAATATTTATCTAATAAAAATTGAAGTATATAAAACTCTTTTATTTTTTATTTTATAGTATTTTATTATTTTTAGATTAATAATTATAAATTAATTAAACAAAAATTAACCATTTTTTATCACTTCGATATAATTCTGAGGTTGTCCATGGCCAGGCCGAGCCAAGCTCAAACTCTTACTTGGGTAAGTTATCAGGCGTGCTGGGCCAAGCTTCGGGTAAGGTATAAGCTATCCGTACCCAACTTGCCCCTCACTGGTTGGGGCTTGTGGACAGGCCTTTTATATATATATATATATATATATATATATAATTTTATTTAAAAAAATTCATGGACCTTTGTTTATATATTTATACAATTTTATAGGCCAGGTAATGGGTTTATATATATAATTTCATTTAAAAAAAATTCATGTACCTTTGTTTATATTTATACAATTTTATAGGCCGGGTAATAGGTTTGAGGACATATTCAAGTCCTCTCATAAAAGATATTGTGCTCGAACTCTTGCAGACTAATTTTCTGGCTTCAGGCCTATTTTTTTTAATTGGATAACGAGACACGTGCGTCAACCCGACCAATGGAACACCCCTGTAGCTAGGGGTGTCAAACGTGTTAGGTTATACGGTTACGTATCTTATTAAACGGATGACAGGTAAAAAACATGTAAATTCATACACAATACGTTTAATAAACGGACAAAAAACCTATACCCGAACACGACCCGTTTAATAAACGAGTAACACAACATGACACGTTTAGATTTAAACGAGTTGTGTTGAGTAGGGTTGGATTAATATGATAAACCACCTGTTTGACTCATTTCCCTGTTTCTTTAAAAATGCTATATAATTTTATAAAACTAACATAAAAAAAGTATGATATTTAGAAATACCACACTATATTACAAAGTACAAACCACGATCCAAAACAATTAAATTCTACCAACAACCATATTACAAATCATAAATACAATCTGAAATAACATAATTACACCAAAGAACACACAAAACCAAACTCCACCAAATGTCATGATTCCCAAAATCCCATGAAAGATATCAAATATCCACCTCCATGACAACGAGCAGATTCAACAACCAAAATTTCATACCCTACACAAATTAAAAATGAATATTATATAACATTACTTATTAAATAGACTCATAACTAGATAAGTAACAAAAACTTGGCATTACAAGCTATATATTTCAATACCTCTTCAGTCATGATCAATGATAGATATAGAATTAGAACATTGAACGGATTTAGCTTTATTAGACTTCATATTTTGATTGAAAACATCATCATCTATTTTCCCTTCTGAATCATCACTAGATTCATCTTTTCTCGCTTACGATTTGATTTACTTTTTTCTATAGTTGTACCAATTAATGTATGTGTTGTTGGATCTGCATTGACCTTAGATTCATACCCGACCTCATCTTTTTCATCAAAAACTATAATATTGTGTTCGAAAAAATCCATTTTGTTTAAAGCAAAGGAAAGCCATTCATGAGAAACTATAAGATTATGAACTAATGCTGATACCCAATAATAAAAATAGGCAGAATACTGATATCAAATACAAAATGATGATTAATCAAACTCAAGCATATATTCTGACATCAAGCCAACACAATAGCCTTGAGCATATATTCTGATATCAAATACATAAAGTCATTCAAGCCAACACAATAACCTTAAGCCATACAGAATGCTGATATCAGACAATTTGTTGAATTTAGGAGCATATATTCTGTTTTATGTTCCTAAGCATATATTCTGTTTTATGTTCCTAAACATATATTCTGTCAAGTAAGGTTAATTTCAAAGGGGGTTGGTGGGTAGGGTTTTAATCCAAGTTTTAATTTCAAAGGGGGTTGGCTTCTGGGTTGGCTCCAGGTTTTATGAGCAGCACTCTTACGTTATTTCCACAACCCATTTTGCATCAATTTTGAAAGAAAGAAAACTCATTCTCTTCTATGTTTGCTTTCCTTTTATGGTTGTGTAGGAGTTCAAAACTTGCTAACAAATTAGAAGCATCAATGGGCATTCTACGTTATATCAGTTGATTACAACTTGGTTAATTGTCAACTTGCTAACAAATTAAAAAGAAAAACTTACAGCTTGGTTAATCGTCGAAGTCTTCGAAGATACCAGCTGCTTGCTGAGTCGTTGTCTGGCAAGAGAGAGACAGAGAGAGGAGGAGGAGGAGTAAGAGCTTCAGTTGCAGACTTGGAGGCTTGGAGGTGCGACGTTGAAGCCGGAAGACGAAGGTTACAGAGGAAACGGGAGACTGAATGAGGATTAGGGTTTGGAATTAGGGAATTTGGAACGATAACTTATATATTTTTTATGGCTATCATTAAAAAAGCAAAAAAATTATGGTTAATTTTTTTAAATAATTATTAATTTATTATTATATTAATTTTACTTAAACGGATTGATATGTCTCATTCAAATATGATCTATTTATTAAATGGGTTTAACGAATTAATTCATTTATCATCTAAATTGATTAAAGTTTCGTCCAAATTCATTTAATTCATATTAATTTATATCAATTAATTTAATTGTACGGTGGCATCCATGTAATTTCGACGAAGCTAAAAGAAGACTTTCCAATCTTCGCAGGGAGGGTTCTCTTTTGCCAGCTTTCCTTTGTGGTCTGGTGGGCGTCCAACCAATAAAGACAAATACAACAATATTCAAACTCTTTGTAGAAAGATCATCATCATCGCCAATTCCACCAAATCAAGCCCAACTCTTCTAGGATTCTGAACATTGTCAATTCCTGGCTCTCCTTGGATACCCCAATTTTTCAACCCAAATCTATCAAGCTTCTCTTAACCTCTGTTCATCTGGGTAGTTTTTTTTTAGCTTTGATTTGGGTTTGGGTCTCCTGAGATATACCAGAAAATTTATCCCAAATCTATCAATCTTCTCTTCTATATAAGAAATCAAATCAACCTCTGGCCATCTTGGTATTTTTTTTAAGCTTTGATTTGGGTTTGGGTCTGCTGAGAAAGCCCGAAAATTTTATCCCAAATCTATCAATCTGCTCTTCAATATAAGGAATCAAATCAACCTCTGTTCAGCTTTGTGGTTTTTGGCTTCGATTTGTAAGAAGGGTCTGAGAATGCTCAACATGATGGATCCTGAGATGATCAGAATGGCTCAAGAACAGATGAGTCGCATGTCACCCAGTGAGTTGGCTCGGATTCAACAACAGGTGATAGTCTTTTTGCGAAACCCATCTTTATTTTTGAATTTTATGTGTAAATTAAAGGTTTTGATCGAAGCCTTGTGCAGTTTGAATATAAATACTATTACGAAAGCCGTTTGCTGTTCCTGCGTATATGAAAATTTGATTATTTGATGTTTTTAAACTATAATTCGGAGAATTTGAGCTTTGTATGTTTGAATTTTGAAGATTCTGATAAAACCCATGTAGAATACAATGTAATAAGTCTAATTGACACGAGTCTGGTGATCGTAGGTTTGTTTACGATTCTCTTTTGATGCTTTGACCTTGTAATTTGGAGCGAATACAAGTTTCTGTCTACGTTGTTGAAGCTTTTGAGAGAGCCCATTTTCAATTTAATTAGTTGTAATTTATCACCATATGAATATGTTGATTTGATGCTCTTAGCCTGTAAGTTGGAGTGTGTGCTTTGATATAACCCATGTGCAATGTAGTTCGCTTATTTTTGTAAGCATAACTTTGATGATTCAGTGTATGGATTTTTGCTTCTTGATGTTTGTAGCTTATAAGTTAGAGTGAATAGCCTTTTTGTTGGATTATTGAGTTGCTAATCATGTTAAATAGAAATAGCTTCAAATTGAAGTCAGAAATACAGCCAAAGGTATTTTTTGTTGCAATCTTGCATCACTCTTGTGGATTTATGGTTTGTTAGATGTCAGCATTAGTACTTGTATTGGGTTTATGTTGGTTTAGGATTTAAATTTTGGAAGATTAATTTTTTGTTAAATGTCACCAATGGCACATCTGTTATTAATTAATTGTCCATAAAGTTAGTATTGTGAGGATTCAAATTCATACTATAAATAGCCACAACAGTGTTGTTTTTACTAGGATAGGCACAATTGTTCCAGTAAAGCTTCGATTACTGAAAATTTTCAAAACTAGGGAGCTGGGTATAAAAATTAGAATGCCTGGAGGTCACTAGATATATTTAAGTAGTTATGGCCAAATGCCATAACCAGACCTCTACAAGCTATTAAGCTTATACTTTGGACCTCGTAATTTAAACTAAAGTATTTGAGAGGACTTAATGTATTTTACATTTATGATGATGCTGATGTTTCTAAACTTAGCAATTACACTTGGGACACCTTTCCCGACTATTACATTATGTCACTCTAATGATGCATTAACATCAGTCTTGAAAAAAAGCCAAAACTTTCGCTGGCTTTGGAAATTCTACCCATCTGTTGATTCTGGTTTTTTCCAGTGGAATTGTGTTCTTGTTTTTTATTTATGGTTGTACTCTATGGTTGACATTGCAGATGATGTCTAATCCCGAGTTGATGAGAATGGCTACAGAAAGCATGAAAAACATGAAGCCTGAAGACTTCAGATATGCTGCTGAACAGATGAAACATACCCGTCCAGAGGAAATGGCTGAGATTGGTGAGAAGATGGCCAATGCAACACCTGAAGAGTTTTCTGCTATGCGTGCCCATATGGAGGCGCAGATTACTCATGACATAAATGCAGCTCAAATGCTGAAGAACCAGGTAATTTGTCAGCCAGCAAAGTTGTGATTGTTAATCCATGTTGCTATACCACTTATAAGTTATAATACCAATACTGCATGTTTGAGGGGGGACTGGGGTGAGAAGAACAAACATAGGAGAACATGTTCTTCTTATCATTTTCTTTTATACTATTATTGACTTGGAAAGATTAGGTCTACGTCAACCAATCACACTTTTTACCACTTGAATTGAATCCCTTACGATCTGGGCGTCAAGGGTCGAGTTGTGAAAATAGCGTCTTTGCATGCGGAGGTAAGACTGTGTGCATCTTACTCTTGTAAGATCCTGCACTGGCGGGAGCCTTGTGCACTAGGTCTCCTTCTTTATTACACTTGACAACTTGGTGATTGACTTTACTCTAGAGAGGGGCCATGTTATGGTGTTTTTCCTACGACATTTATTTTCAAAAATATAAATGCATCTCTAAATGTCTTGGTTGGCAATTAAACTAAGTAAAACCCTCGTTTCTTTTACTTTTCATTCTGGCTAAGAAGTGTTCCTTTGACCTAATTTTGCATTTCATCGTGGGGCTCCTTTGTGAACTGTGCAGACTTCTAAGTCACACTGACCTATTTTTAAAGAAATTTGAGTGGGTTTTGCAAAGATCTCTTGTCCTTGGAAAGGATAAACCCGGAGTTCAAATATTAGGCTACTTCCTTAAATTTCATGTAACTGTTCCCTCCTGCTTCCGCACCCTCCATTCTGAATGAAGAGAACAATGTGAAACCACATGCAACACAAGATATATAACATATATCATTACTAAGAGCTCAACACTAATACATGCCCCCAGAAATTATGCTTGAATTTTTGATGTCTTCCTTAGAAACTGGAGTGGTGTGTTTTTAATTATGTGGTAAGAGTACCACTTTGCTGGGATTTTTCACCAAACTGAAGAGATGGTAAATATTGCATAAGATTTTTTCCTGGCTATAGTGAACATCACAATCTTCCAAAAGTTAAGCTAGAGAGGACCTGATTGCTAATCCCTGTTATTCTCTTTTGGCGCATTAGATTACTCTATTATACTTTAGGATAATTTTTACTATTTTTTTCAGGGTGGATTTTGATATTTAAGAAGTTGGGGTATTTTCAATTCTGACTTCGCATTCTTACAGTTTTATAGATCAACATTTCCTTTGAAAATTATATTTGCAAGAAAATATTATAGTTGAAGTTCCTTTTCCGGCTTGGAAAGATATTAAAATTTTAAATTGATGCATCCATGCAATTATTTATATCTAGGTAAGTGCAAAATATGTGAGGTGATATATGAATGTAATGGAAATGTCTACAGCCTAACGTTTGAGGTCAAATTTCTTATAATGAAGCTACAAATGTACATTTAGTTACATTTTTTGTGTACTTGCAAGGACACATTTTCACTGACATGCGACTGATCTTTTGTTTACAAATTGGCATCTAACATGTGCTCATGGATCCATTTTACATTATGGCAGGGCAATGAACTTCACGGCCAGGGAATGTTTAATGATGCCTTGCAGAAATATTTGCTCGTGAGTGTGGCATTTGTGTTAATTTACGTCTTTATGTTTCATGTGTTGGTTCTCTTTGGATTTTAGCCTATGTAACGATGAAATTTATATTATTTTTCAAAAATCTTTAGGCAAAGAAAAATCTAAAAGGCATCCCAGCTTCCAAATGTAGAAGTCTCCTGATGGCATGCTCTCTTAATTTGATGTCGTGCTACCTAAGAACAAAGCAGTTTGATGAGTGCATAAGCGAAGGTACAGAGGTATGGGCAAGTTAATTGTGGCTTCTAGTTTCACTGTGTTTTGTTCTTAGAATCTAAAATAATCATCTTGAATCGAAACTTGCAGCAAATAAAGGAAATGAGAGACTAAGAAATTCATTGTTATATATAATATATCATAGAAATTGGAGGAGAAGGGGAAATACTTTCTGTAATGGTGGCTCATTCCCTTTTTTGTACATATTGGACGTGTGCTTTGTTTGATTATAGGGCGCATGACACTTACGATATTGAGTGCCTATTTGCTTCATATGAATGGGAGGAAGAATTTCTTACATATTGGGTATGCTACAGGTCTTGGCACTTGATGCAAAGAATGTCAAAGCTCTTTACCGCAGGGGTCAAGCATACAATGAAGTAGGACGACTAGAAGTGAGTGTTCGTTCAGTTCTATTCCTTTTTGATGGGTTGCAGCATTGTTCTTCTTAGGGACATCTCCCTTTAAATCTGTTTCTGTTATCTTATAGACATTCTGAAATATGCTAGGATGCAGTGTCTGACTTGAGCAAAGCACATGAAGTTTCTCCTGACGATGAAACTATCGCAGATGTCTTAAGGTATGGGATCTAGTCTTTCACAGATGTTTTGCCCTTACTGTTGACTTCACTTTGATAAGTTTAAGTATGCACCTCGCAGGAGAAAGAGTGGCATACTTGGCATGTCTGTCATCAATTATTCTTAGGTTTGAAAGCGTCAAACCATTTTTTCTCAAGGTGGAATTGTACTTTTTTTTGTACTAGGCCACCCAAATTGGTCCGAGCATTTAGGATATCCAGATTCATTGTCACCGCATACTAGTAATAACTTCGTATGTGAATACAATCTATAATATAAAAAATTGAGCGTTGGTCGTTCAACATTTATATTTTAAATAAAAATTTATTTTTCCTTTCCTTTTTTTGAATTATGCAATTTAAAATTAATGTGAACATAGAGAAAATAACAGAGAGATAGAGAAGAGAAGAAAGAGAGGTAAGAGTGAATTACTGGGGCTGTATGGTATTACGAAGTGTGTTGGTTTAGTTATCTGAAATTGAGGGCTGTGTAGAAAAAATGATATTTTTGAGCCGAAAAAAATTTGAGATGAATTTTGTATCATTGGATCAATGGTGACCGTTGTTGTGATCTTATAAGTTGAGAATTCAATTCAATTTCTTAGCTGTAATATTAGATATATTTTAGTGATAAGTACTTTTAAGTCATACGACCTCTCATCTCTCATTTTTTGGTACATTGTTAAAATGTCAACTACCTCAATCATGATCTTAGATAGATACTAGGTTCTTCATTTGGCATGTTTTTTATGTTTTCTGATGGACACAGGGGTGCTAAAGAAAGATTCATGAAAGAAAGTGGAGAGCATGCTTCGAGAGGTATTTTGCTGAAGTTGGTAGTTTTGATTTAAGCAACCAAAACTCCCACAACTTATGGGGCACATATATGCTACTTTCCTAAAAAAAAAATTTTATTTTTATTTTTTGGTCAAACAGGGTTAGTTATTGAAGAAATAACAGAAGAAGTCCAGACGGTTTCACCTGAAATCTGTGAAAGTAAACCTACAGAATATCCTGTCTCACGACCAAAAGAAACCAGTGGCTGCTCTAATGGTCGAATTGACATCCCCGATGTGGTTCCATCAACAGATACAGAGTCTTTGCAGGCTTTAAAAGATGATCCAGAATCTATCAGGTTGGTTTGCATCCATAAGGGATTTGTTCCGTATCTTGTTTGTTTATTCCAAATGAGGAATTTCTTTGTTGCATTCTAAAAATATTTTTTTTCCTTTTTCGTTTCCCTCCCCTTCTAGCACAATGATGGGTCATATGAATGGATACTTTTGAAGGTTGCCTTTGCATTGTGCTTACCTTTTTTTTTTCCCTTGTTGGTCGCATTTTTTCCAATAAATATGGTTTTATCTTTTGTCCAATAAAAAATGGTGCTATTATTAATCATAAAAGACCAGAGAAAGTTAAAAAAAAAAAGATGAGTTGAAGGTGGAGAAGTCGTCCAAATCAAAGACACACCAAAATAAAATAAAATAAAAATACAACTTTAAAAGACCCAAAACTACATTACACATGAAACTGGTCAACTCGAGGTGAATGCAGAAAAATGGAGTATTCTCAAACTCATTAGTGATCGATGTCCAAAAAAAAGCCAAATAATAAATACTTTCCCAAAGGCCTTCAACTTCCTCACACTTATTATAAAAAATCCTCACATTACTTTCTAACTAAGTATCCCAAATAGTAGCGAAGCAAGCCAAACGTCAAATAGTCTTCCAACGTCTATGCCCACCATCTCTAACATCAACCAAGCATATCATGGTAATAAAGTTATCGGTGGCACCCAACATATACGCATACTCATATAGCTATACAATCTATTTCATAGTGAGAACTTGATAGGACAATCTAAGAATAAATGGTCCACAGTCTCACTGTCACCTTTACACAGAACACACCAATGTTGTGTAGGAAAAAAGCCATGGGTTTCCTTCTTTAAAGCACATCATAGGTGTTAACCTTTCCATGAACAATTATCCATATATAGTCTTGCACCTTTAAAGGCACTCTAGCTTCTCAAAACATCTTTGATGAAAGGAACAAAATAACTAAATTTTGTTTCAAAACAACCGAAATGTTCTAAATGTATTCATTTTCATGAAAACCGAAACAAATTAGTGATGAAAATGTTGAAATTCCTATGTTTTGATGTGTCTCAGTATGTTTCGGGGTGTTTTGATATAGTTCTATCAATGTTTGATAAACAAAATTTCAATTTTTTATTTGTTTCCATCATGTTTTCAAAATGTTTTGAAAACATATTTGAATTTTTTTCGTTTCGTAGTTGACCAAATCTATGCACCGAAATAAAATTTTGATCCTTGCCCATTAGAGTTATTTATAGGCACAAGTATTTGTAATGGAGAGAAATAAGACAAATGACTGACTAAAGAAGGCAAACGAATGATAAGAATCATATTGCACCTACTCTGCTCATTAAAATGGCATGGCATGCATGGGAAAATATAATCGTGGCTTCTAATTTTTAGGACTTCTCTTCATGTCTCCTCTTATTAGTTTATGCTGAAGTATAAATACTTTAAGTTACATCCTCTGTAACAACTTAAACTTTTAGAGTAGATGGTTGGTTAATATGGTACTAGAATAGGAGGTCTTGTGTTCGGATTTTACCGCTAACCTGATAATTAAATTATTTTCATATGCTTGACTCAAAATCTAGTTTGCACATGAGGAGAGGTCTTGAAGTATAAATACTTTAAGTTACACTCTCTCTAATAGTTTAAACTTTTAGAGTAAATGGTTGTTTAATAATTTCAAAAAGACAGAATCTACTTGTTTCCATAACTTTTATCATTTTCATTTGTGCATCTTGTATTTGATTGTATGTGTAATGTCCCGCTTGAAATTATTTAATTGACAGATGTATAGCCATGTTTGTGTAGCCTTTTCCATGTTTTTAATTCAACTTACACAATCTTGTTAAATACGGAGGGGTTTCAATATGTATTGTGGAAGGAGAAACAAGGAAAAATTGTGGTGTTTAACATCTGATTGATGGGGTATGATGTTCTGACACATTTGTGCGTATGTTGAAACAAATAACTTACGATTGGTAAACATCTCTGTGCTTGTTTGTGCTTTTTTTCATTTTAATTTTTTTGGGCCATTAGGGAGGGAGGAGGGGGGTCTGGGAGTTGTATTCATGCATAAACGTGTGTTCACATTGAGAGACTATGATGCAGTACTCATGCTGTGAAATATAGATGATTGATGCTAGGTTGTCGGTATAAGACTGGACTTTGTTTGTGTGGTCTTTTTTGCTGCTGCTTCTTTCTTCCTTTCTTTCTTTCTGCTCCACTCTCTTCCTCTTCTTTTGTGTTTTAAACTTGTTTCGACGACGTATATATTTCTTCAATTTTTGTCTACCGGAGAATATATCAATTAATCCACATTCTCTTTTTTTCTTGTGGTGAATTGCATAGATCCTTCCAAAATTTTATTTCTCGCGCTGATCCAGAAACTCTGGCTGCTCTGGGCGGTGGAAAAGTAGAGGGGATATCTCCTGATATGGTGAAGACTGCCTCGAATGTGATTAGCAAGATGTCACCTGAAGAACTTCAAAGAATGGTACAAATGGCTTCCTCCTTTCAAGGGAAAAATCCCTATTTAGGGAAAGGCTCCTCAAACTCTAATTTCGACAGCTTTAGTCCTGGTTTGGTTCCACCAGACTTGACACCTGACATGCTTAAAACTGCAACCGATATGATGACTAAAATGCCATCAGAAGAACTTCAGAAAATGTTTGAGATGGCATCATCTGTGAGAGAAAAAGCTCCAGGATCAGCATCAGCTGCTGCTGCTTTACATTCTAGTGGGCTTAGATCAGATTTTGGGACACCTGACATGCTTAAAACTGCAACCGATATGATGAGTAAGATGTCATCAGAAGAACTTCAGAAAATGTTTGAGATGGCATCATCTGTGAGAGAAAAAGTTCCAGGATCAGCATCATCATCAGCTGCTGCTGCTTCACATTCTAGTGGGCTTAGATCAGATAGTGGGTTAGAAACTTCAGAAACTGGGGAAAGTTTTGAAGTTAGTGGAGATAATTTTGGTGAAAGTAGTTCTCAAGGTTTTCTTAATTCAAGAAGTGCTCGTCAGTCGGGCTTTCCAAGCTCGAGTGCTGACCTGCAAGAGAAAATGAGAAACCAAATGAACGATCCAGCTATGCGGCAGGTATTCAACTGGAATTCCTTGTTCGTTTCCTGTTCCCTGTTTTTAGCTGTTGGGTTTATTGTCTTTTTTCTTAGTTTTGTTCTTTTTTTGAGTTGGGGTGTGGGGTGGGGATTGCAAGCGTCCTATGCATTCATTGATTTTCTGCTTTCTTTTTCCCGTTATGTTTACGGTTTAACTGTCAAACTCTCTTCAATTTCCAAGTGAAACATTGACAAGTTTGAAAAAGAAAGATACGAAATTGAACCCTGGGAGTCCTGACTGCGATAAGTAAATACAGATTCAGGACATTTCCTGAGATCTCATGCCAATGAAATTATTCTGTCATGCTCCACAACCCTTCAATTCTGTTTTCTTTTCTTTTCTTTTTTTTTTTTGGGATGTGGAAAACTTTTCAATACAGCCTATTGTCTATCATCACATCTAATGGTTGTCGCTTGTGTGGTGAGTAGAATATCTTCATATACTTCAAGAGCTACACAATCCACATCCTGCTTGTGACCCATTTTTCGCAATGATACCACATTTGTCATATTGCCTTTTAGAGCAATATGATTTTCTTTCTGTTGTTATAATACACCATGAAATGATTTTTGTTTCCATGCGGATCCCTGATGTGCTTTGTTGTGTAAAGAACTGTGCTTGTATTTAGTTTATTGTTCAAATCTTTGATGTCATGAAAATTGGCAGATGTTCTCATCGATAGTTAAAAATATGAGCCCAGACATGATGGCAAGCATGAGTGAACAATTTGGACTAAAGCTTTCGCGGGAGGATGCAGAAAAAGCTCAACAAGCCATGTCATCGTTCTCACCTGACAACTTGGATAAAATGGTATCTTCTTGCTTAATTTACACCCCATATGACAATTTTTTGGAGTCCATGTGTCACAGTTGCTATCTATAACTTGGCAACAAAAATGTCAAAAAATCGATATACTTTTGAATTTCTCGTTTGACTGATACCTAGTTATATCCGTTCCCATTGCAATAAATTAGATGGTGCAAGCATGTATGTCACAAAAGCATCCCAATTGTTATTAATATTATTTACATTGCTGTTGTCAAACAAGGATATACATAAGTAAATATATGTTATTGGCGCAGTTATTGTTGTCAATTTGGATTTTAGTGGGATTTGATTTGTTGATGGTTTTCCTTAGTTCTGAAGTGTAGAAGCATTTATATGTATGAGAAGTTGCTTTGTTAGCCAACATTTTTATTTTTGTTATTAAATTTTTTCCTCCAATGTTCTATCCTCTTTGTCCGAAATATGAAGTCACCTGAAGCCATGGTTTTGCAGCAATTTGAACAAATCAAAGCAAAGAATAAACTTAAAAAGCACCTGAATTTTTTCAGTGTAAAATAAACAAACAAGTGAGAATTAAAATTGCTGCAAAGATTCACTTATTTTTGGTTCTTAATTCCAAGTTGTAGACCTTAATAAATATGCCCTCAGTATTTCTTATTGATCTGTAGTCATTGATATGGATCTGTTGCTGTTACTCTAAATGTTTTTTCCCCTGGAAAGTAATTTTTACTCTTGAGAGAAAAAACCTTGTATGCTTTTGGTGGAAGAATGTTTTTAAATTTTTTGAACATTCTGTCACGTTTCGTTATCATATTATTGAGTATTATGGAACCAAGAGTTGTTGTGGTGTAGCACTGGTTGTTGTCAATCCCCAACACATTTCACAGTGTCGGATAAAATGAAAAGAGGATTTGCGCTCATTATTTTTGTCATTCACTCAGTTGGTGCCAACACCACCAGAGAATTTGATAGTGAATTGTTGTGGACAAGTCATACGGCCCATGATTACAGTTTAAAAGCGTGCTTGTCTTACCTATTTTATACTTTTCTCTTTCCCCAAAACTTCTGAGAAGTAACACTTTGGCTTCTTAAATTCGATGCTTTGCCTCATATATATTTTTAGTTTATTTTATTATGGGATTATTACATAGTAGTCTAGTCAAGTGCTGTTACAAATATCAGCAGGGTACCTCAACCTTGAGTTGGGACCAACAGAACATGAACTTCAATGATGTGCATCCATGAGGCTTTGAGACAATAGCTGTTTGGTTGTATTGATTAAGCTTATTGTGGCTAAATATTAGACTTGACCATTACATGCACCTGCATGCAGAATACCCTTTTCTTTTCCCTTAAATTTTGTTTAATTGTCGTTGCAGATGAAGTGGGTGGAAAGGATTCAACGAGGAGTCGAAGGTGCAAGGAAGACAAAAAATTGGCTACTAGGTAGGCCTGGCATGATATTGGCAGTATGTATACTCATTTTGGCAGTCATCCTTCACTGGTTTGGTTTCATCGGCCGTTAGACCGGGACATGTCTTGGCCAATCAAACACTGCAGAATTAAGCAGACCCTAAAACTGAGCTACAAGTCTCAAAACTTTATTTATCCCTCATACTCATCAGATCAAAGGAGTGGAATGCTGGTTGAAGGGTACTTTTAGTGGAAAAGGATGGAATTTTGTTAAGTGGATGATGAAACTACAAGCTAAACAAACTTTTCTCTGTTGTATGTGATATTTACTTGTAATGAA